CCTGAAATATCCAGCATCCCCTTTCTGACACTCTTCTTCAACTCCTGGAGCTTCAGCTGCCAGGAGCCAATGTCAGCGATGTACTCTAGTGTGTGCGCAAGAGTACAGCATTGAGGTCTATGGAGGATCCTGCAAGACCCTCCACAGAAAGAACTTTATTGGCTGGTTATGGCTGTGGTGAAATTGCAAGCTTGACACGGTAGCTCCTCCTTTTTGTCAAGCGTACAAAATATCCTGAGAATAAAGTATTCTCCAGTGTAATTTCCACACAGTCAATCTGAGTATTTCATAAAGATTCTAATCATTGGGAAACAGTCATTATTGATATTGGGTGTGATATTGGCTTTAATTGCAATTTTTTACAGTCTCTACATCACTACACTAAAAGAGGCAAAACATAAAGAATAACCATTGTTAATTAGACTATTTATTAATTAAAAGCAGGAATACCCACTGGCCAGAAACGGAAAATGTTACACCAACTCAGGCTCACAAAGAATCCACATGCTAGCATTTATTATCAGTGAAAACACAGACAGCAGCTCTATAGAATGTTCTGAATAATTTCTCCAGATCTGATCCCACTGTTCTATCACTTTAACTCCCCAGTCAACCTTTTATAACCCAGTGACACAACTTTGACTTCGTACCTTCCTCTTTTTATTGATCCACAACAGGGCTCTCCCCATTCCTTTTTCCCCCAACCCTCCTTTAACCCGTTTATCATCTGCAATTCTCCTCAAACCCCCAATTGAAATTATTTTACGCTACTGTCCTTTTGAAACTTAATAGCTATTCTCTAAATGCTGGATTTTAATATGTAACATTTATTATAAAGGGACTCTATAGGCACCCAAACCACTGATCTGGGAACTATGTACCTTATTTTAAACCTGTAACTAAAAACGTTGCCACTGCACTATTTGCCACTATTTGCCACTATTTCAGAGTAAACACTCCTTTAGTATCTATCAGGAAGACAGCTACTAGAGGCGCTTGCACAGCTAAAACAGAGTTAAACTTGGTCGTAGCTCATAATACACTCATTGAGAGCATTTGATTGGCACAGAGCAACAATTTTCCAGGCATGCGCACAAACCTCCCAATGCCTCCCTATGGGAAAACATTGGATTGGCCGAGTTCATCAACATTAATTATCGCAGCCAAAAAGTCAGCACACAGCAGCAGGTAAGGTAAGTAAAATTTACCGTTTAGCCCAATGTAAGGGGAAGGGGCACCTAGATAGGAATACACTACAGCGTTAGGTGTTTGTATTACTAATGCTATAGTCATAGGCGTGCGCACGGGGTGTGCCGGATGTGCCTGGCCACACCCTAATCCCTGCGGCATGCCTATGGAGTGAGACCGGCAGGGGAGATCTCAGGATCTCCCCTTTCGGCTCATGCAGAGCCAGCACTATCCGAGCACCGGCTCTGTTCTCAGCCTCCCTCCCCACTGCAGCATGTAGGGAGGCAGGAGAGGACCCGGGGAGCTCAACCAGCAGCTCCGCCGGGTTCCTCTTTCAAGATCTGAGCATTACCGTGGCAACGCTCAGATCTCGCAAGAGTGAACTCTATCCCCAAAGGGGCTAGAGTTCACTCTCCACTGGACCACCAGGGAAAGCAGCAGGAACAAGAATCCCCCCTCCCTACATAAGGTAAGAAGGGAGGGGGGATATTAAGTAATGTACCCCACCTCCACCCCCCCACAATCACCCACACACTTACAGCACACACACCCACACACAGCACCCACACACATACAGCACCCACACACACAGCACCCACACACATACAGCATACACATACACACACACACACATACAGCACACACATACACACACACAGCACCCTCACACACAACACACACACACACAGCACCCACACACACACACACACACAGCACCCACATACAGCACCCACATACAGCACCCACCCACATACTGCACACACACACACACATACAGCACCCTCACACATACAGCACCCGCACACACACATACAGCACACACACACAGCACCCCCACACATATAGCATCCTCACACACATTCAGCACACACATCCAGCACACACACATACACACAGCACACACACACACAGCACACACACACAGCACACACACACACAGCACACACACACACACACATCCAGCACACACATACACACAGCACACACACACACACACACACACAGCACACACACATACAGCACACACACACACAGCACACACACACATAGCACACACATACACATACAGCACACACACACATACATAGAGCACACACACAGCACATACATACAGCACCCACACACACACATACAGCACACACATGCAGCACCCTCAAACACACAGCACCCTCTCACACACAGCACAGAATCAGCACCCTCACAAACACACACACAGCACCCTCACACACACAGCACACTAACAGGACCCTAACAAACACACACACACACATCACACACACAGCACCCTCACACACATACAGCACACACACACACACACATACACATACAGCACCTTCACACATACAGCAACCACACACACACAGCACCCACATACAGCACCCACACACATACAGCACCCCCACACACATACACCACACACCCACAGCACACATATACAGCACCTTCACACATACAGCACATAGAAACATAGAAACATAGAATGTGACGGCAGATAAGAACCATTCGGCCCATCTAGTCTGCCCAATTTTCTAAATACTTTCATTAGTCCCTAGTCTTATCTTATAGTTAGGATAGCCTTATGCCTATCCCACGCATGCTTAAACTCCTTTACTGTGTTAACCTCTACCACTTCAGCTGGAAGGCTATTCCATGCATCCACTACCCTCTCAGTAAAGTAATACTTCCTGATATTATTTTTAAACCTTTGTCCCTCTAATTTAAGACTATGTCCTCTTGTTGTGGTAGTTTTTCTTCTTTTAAATATAGTCTCCTCCTTTACTGCACCTTCACACATACAGCACACACACACATACAGCGCACACACACAGCACACACAGCACACACATACAGCACCCACACACACACACCCACACAGCACACACACATACAGCACCCACACACACACAGCACACACACACATACAGCACCCTCACACACATACAGCACACACACACAGCACACACATACACCACCTTCACACATACAGCACCAACACACACACAGCACACACATACAGCACCCACACACACACACACACACAGCACACACATACAGCTCCCACACACACACAGCACCCACACACATACAGCAGCCACACACATATAGCACCCTCAAACACACAGCACCCTCTTACACACAGCACAGAAACAGCACCCTCACAAACACACACACAACACCCTAACAGGACCCTAACACACACACACACATACATACAAACACGCTCACACACACACAGCACACAAACAGCACCCTCACACACACATCACACTAACAGCACCCTCACACACAGCACCCTTACACACACACACACACACACAGCACCCTTACACACACAACACCCTCAAACCACCCTCATGCAGCACACAAACACACACAGCAGTATATGTATGTGTGTGTGTATATATATATATATATATATATATATATATAGATATATATAAATAAATATATATATATATATATATATGTGTGTGTATGTGTGTATATATATATATATATATATATATATATATATATATATATATATACACACACACATACATATACATGCAGCGTGTGTTTGTGCTTTAGGGTGTAAAGCCTAATGCAATAGGCTGCGCACGCCTATGGCTATGTAATTTAAATTCTCACAAGCCAAGAAGTAACTGTTAAAAAAGTAAACTAGCTAAAATGTCAGTTTCATTTAACAATATATATTTTGATTGAGTAATTCTGACCAAACATGCATTCTGTGTATATGCCTCTTTTGTTTAAGGCTTATCAAAACACCTCCAAATTGTACTCAATGCCTTTAGAATTAATAGTAGCCTTGATTGAAACAATTTAAATGGCATTACGGGAATGTGAAATTGACTTAGCCACCAAAGGATGTTCTGAAGACTCTCGTGTTTTATAATTATATGATTTGTAGGAAATAGTTCTTTCAGTCTCTTAAGAAATGATTACACATCTTTCAAAGAACTCATTGTTCTCCAAAAAAAAACATGCATTTTATCTAAACTGTACCTGTCGTGGTACACACAAGTTAGGTTCATTTAAAATTCCACAAATATTGTCCCAGTAGAAATGTTACCATATATATAGATTTTAACTTAAAGTTCTTTAAAATGTTGTTTTCTATCCCATCTATTGATCAAATTGCTGCATTTGACCCGTGTGTCAGAATCACAGAAGGTCTAATGCCATTGGGGGACAAGAAGAGCGACAGGAGAGTTGGCTCAAGCCAGCATTACAGCGTCAGCAGTGATGGAGCAAGAACTAATCGCAACAGACAGAGGTCAACAATGTAACACACACACTGGCACCCCATGATGGAGGTGTTGGCACAATGGGCAGCTGGTAAATAGATTACAACATCTCCCAAAGATTGTCCTGTCCGGTGAGACTAAAGTTGCAAATTATTTGCTACACTCTATGCCGGTATATTATGTCTGCTAGTAGACTTTGAAAGGCAGAATACACATACGCAAACATACACACAGCCAACACCTTCACATTTTTCATTAAGTATTTATAACATACAGTTATGTCAATATAATGTACCAAGCATCTTGACAGGTCATTCACACTTCTGAAATATTGTAAAACCACATTATTGCATAGCTTTAATTTTTGCTTTTGCTTTGAGATTACTTCTCAACATGACTCAAAATGGTTTGGTCAGTATTCTATATGACGCTGAAATTGTAATGTTTTGTATAGTTTTATGCAAATTGAAAATAAAATGCTTTTTCTTTAGAGGGTTGTGCTATGTATAAAGTAATATTTTGTTTCTGTAGTAATATAGGTTGTAAAGACTCACGTCCATCAAGTTCAAACTTTCACACATTTCCCTTTGTAACGTTTATCCAAAACAAGGTGAAAAGTACAATTCGAAGTGATTTCCAGCTGTTCAACAAAATGGGGAAAGCATTATAAGCATTGCTTCATATCAGGGGTAGTAATCACACAATATAGTGGTTATGTTGCCAGGAATGCCCCCCTTTTGTAAATAACCAAACAAGTTTAGAACCGTTCGACTTATTACCTCTGTCCGCTGGATGATGTTCCCCACCTCCACTACTTCACACAGAGAGTCAGAAGTCAAACATCTGATCATATACTTTCCTGAAAGTGCAAGTGTGTGTGATGGGGGAGGTTGAAGAGAAACTTTCAGATCTCTAGTACTGTATTAGTCATTTACAGCTTATTCGTGTCACTAAACAATACACGAGTAAACAGTTCAATAAAAATGGTAAGGGTTGTTTACTAAAATGAAAATTACCAGCTAAAATTTTAAGGCTAAAATAGCTGAACTGGAAAAAAAACCTAAATTTTAGCTATGCTTCCAGTTTGGCTCTGGACTAGAACAAGAAGTCCTCTTAAGCAGCAAGTGCCAGTTCGGATCCCATTTTTATCGCAGCTTAGAACATTCCCTTAGCATATCTCTTGCAGCCACCAACACTAGAAATGATAGCTGCTGTTATCTCCTACCAGTTTCATCGGTCTGTTTAACCATAACTCATCCTCCGTGTCTTTATATACTGCTTACATTACTTCTTCAACTGGAAATTAATTTCAGCTGCTTCCAGAACTAAAACATACAGAGCTATTCATTAAACACTAAATTTTCGTCTGCTTTTGCAATTTGTAGATTTACCAAAGCCAACTACGATCAAGATCTAACCTGTCTTACTGGTTCTGTAACATTCAGAAAATCACTAATACCTGCATCCAAATCAACACGAAGGACAGGAATCGAAGATTTATTGAGAGCATGGCGGCCGAAGATAAAACGAATGCATCCGGCATGAGCCACATTCGCAAATGAACATTCTCATTCTTTTTGCTATTGCTGCCAAAGGGCAAGTAGTTCGGATTGCAACTTCGGAATGGGGTTGAATTCATTAAGTCTGGATTTCAGCCGTCCAGCGTTGTTCGGTCCGACCGAAGTCTGGACCAAATTCAGGCCCATTTGGGGCCTGATTTTCACAAACCAGACATTGTTAAATTTTATCAACAAAGTCTGGATTTTGAAGTCTGAATGGCCCCGTCCAGCAGCGAATGGTTTTTCCCTATTCGTTACAGACCCATTTGGACTTTTGTGAATAACTCTGATAGGCCACCAATATTCCCTATGGATGACACGTAAAGCCGCACATGCACCCTAGACGTGGTCACAACAAAAATAATAAAATGCAATTTTTCACACAACACGTCGACCATAATCAGGCTTGCAAGAGAAAGGGAGACCACCCCCAATTACGAACTGAATATTGATATAAACAGAATTTTTTTTTTATGTCATTGCAATTTTTGCTAAGGATATTTCTCTAGTCTGAGAAAGAATTGATATACGAACAAGGCATTGCTTAGAACGCATTTATGTACTGATATGTGTTTAACATGAGATGTATCTGTGGTGGGGCCTTGCTTGCATTTTAATGAGACATTCTAGGCACCACATGTGCAATAATGCATGGAATATACAGAAAATCAAAAAAGCACTTTTTTCTTACTGTAAGATTCCAGATATGTGATTTTTGCAAAGGAAACTTGCAGTGGAGCAACACCACAATTATTTACTAACCCATGTAACATAATCTGACAATGCACTAACACATTTGTGTTTTATCACCCTAGAATGTCATATCATCAGTTTACGATGTGTCTCCAACAACAGTTCATATAATTACTGTCATTTACTTTCTAGCAGTTTCCTACATAAGACACCCATTATTGATTACAGTATTGATCCTGTTGTAACCCATGAACCCAATCATTGGAATTCAGGAAAAATTCACAGCTGTACCGATTCGCCACCACAGAAATGGTGACAGATTTTAAAATGTCCATTCACCATTAGAATAAAATAGATGAATCACGCAGCAACGTATATATACGGGTACATTGAAACAAACACCTGTAGTAAACAGTAAATAAACAAACAAAGTGGGTATATACCAAGGTTAGGCAGTCGTCAGATAATATATTTTTAATGCATTTGAGCTGATGTCATGGTCTAAATAATGACTTCTGGAATAGCTGTGATGCAAGATAAAATATGCATCCACACATATGCACAAATTAATTAGCACTTAGTGGAAAGCATGTGACAATTAAATCAAAGCAGATGTTGGGGGCTATAAACATTGTATAGGAGACACAAACAATTATCACAGCAACACAATTGAGGTAATTGCACTGTTTTCAGAACAATTTTGACATCTATAAAATCTAGCGCTACCTGTAGAAAATTAAGCTAGGAAGCAGAATTGAAACATGGAATTTTTGTTTTTGTTTACAATTAACAGATCTCCACACCTTATACCCATGCATTCCCCCTCCGGCTGTTTATTTTTCTTCAGAATGCATTGTAGTATTAATACAAGAAAGTGTTGAGTAAATCTAAATAACTCCCATCAGATCTGCCAATAAAGGATATGATATAACATGTCTTTTCATCAGACACTCCCTTGCTGTGTCACAATGTAGCACAGCAGCCAGTTGAATAATTGTGTTTACCTCAAAGGAAGTGGTGGATAGCCCGTGTGTGCAAATCACAGGGCACATGTGTTGTGTACATTGTCACCTTGTACCTGTTAGGAGAATGTATCAATCTCACATCATACATGGGTTCATTATACGTTATTGTGTTTACATGATCTGGTAACCCAGCTACAGGAAGGACATCAGAGAGTTGGACTGGCTGTGTGTAAGATGAGAATGTGATGTACACTGTGTATTGGCTTCAGCTATAAAACACTTTTATTTATGAACAAATAGAAATGAAAGGACAATTCAGGACCCATGCTTTACCTGGCTGGCTTTGTGGAACTGCTTCTTCAGACCTGCCACTGACATTCTCTCATCAGTTCCCCGGTTTATAGCAGTGTGCACTTTAACTCTTTGGCAGCTGGAGGCTGGCAGTGTGCACTCAGTGAGTGTGATCCGGGGGGGTGGGGGGCGCTCAGCGGGCAGTGCAGCGAACCTCAGGCCATTCCAATTCCAGAGAATGGAACGTTCAGCACTCGCTCAGGGAGCACAGCGAGAGCGAAACACGCCTAGTCACTGGGGGGAACGCCCCCTTCTATTGGATTGGCCAAGACGCATAGATATGCAAATTAAGGGATGAGTTAACGCCCAGCTGGGTGATGGCTGCAAGGAGGCTTGTAGTGGGACTTGCAGTGTAGCTATTGTAGTATGATGTTGTTATGGTGTAGCTATGGTAGTAGAGTTTGATACAGTCAGTAACTATGTAATTAGCCTTCCTGGAAGTTTTATTGTGTAGGGATATGTTCTATGTTGTACTCACTTGTGCATTCCCAACAGTTTTGTTTTTTTTTACAAAATATACTCAACCTGTCTGTTTTTTTAATGCATTTTTATTAATGATAGACGATTATTACAATTGTATGCATTTGAAATAAAAAAAATAAATTGCCAGGTAATTTTAATTTCTACTCCTTTTTAGATACCCCTCCCCTCACAAGACCAAAAGACATCTGAAACAACCGTCTGGGGTTGCAGAATCTGTCGAGTTGACAGACTTGCTAGCATTTTGCTTTCACATTACCTTTGTGGATGGCAGCAGCCGTGGTGTGTTTTGGATTTGTGCTGCCCTAGGCATGACTAAATTCGGGCACCCCCAAAATCTAAATTTGCCCCACCAATTTGTGTCAAGGCCCTCACTGATATAGGCACTGATACACTCACTGACAGATACACATTCATTGGCACACACACTTTCACTGACAGACACACACTGACACACCCATACTCACTGACAGACACACACACTTTCACTCACTCACAGACACACACTAACAGCTACACTCACTCACTCATACACTCACTCACAGTCATACACACTCACACATTCACTAACAGACACAAACACATTTACTGACAGACACACATAAATGTTGTCATACACTCACCAATTATTAATATTTTTTTAAAATGTAAATCCACCCAGCCTTTCTACCTTTGGGAGAGGTGGAGTGGATCCTTTCCCTGGCTCTGCTGGCTGGGCTAGCACTGCTGGGGATGCTGGCTGGGCTGGCTGGCTCTGCTGGGGCTGCTGGCGCGAAATGGAGGCAGCGAGGGAACCAAGCTCTTCTTGCTTCATCAACCTTGCGCATCGCTTAGTGACCATCATATTCTGGCATATTCTGGCATCCCAGAAGGGCGCGTGAGAGAGCAAAAAGAGCGGAGGACAGATCTCCCTTGCCGCCTGGCTAGAATATTAGTAGTTTAACACCTCGGGGGGCCCTAAGTTGGACAGCCCCAGAATATGCGGCAAACAAGGCATTTGCCTGGGAGCTTGGTGTGGCGTTTTTTGGAACCACCCATATGATCTGACGCCAGTAATGCATACAGCGTGTGTTTATATTAAAAACCTGCAGGGACCAGCTATAGACACCAGAACCACTTCATTAAGCTGCAGTGGTTCTGGGAACTATAGTGTCCCTTTAATGTGAGGTAAATTATAGATTAGTGTCACTAATAATATACTAGATTGCCTACTTACAACCAGATGAGGATGGTGATGGGCTCTGGCTGCAGTTTGGCTCCACTGGTCTGGTGTGGAACAGGATCTCTGGAGGCTGTTTGTAAGTGTGAAACACATAAAATACAGCTCACGAAGGTATACTACAAAGGAAGGGGATAACCCATAGTGGAATCAAAGAGAGGAGAAAGGAGTAGTATTGTCACGGTTCTCACCGCGACGGCCAGACGAGGTCACCCCAGAAGTGCCTGGTGACGGACTTGAACCAGGGTACGTTGCAGTCCTGGGGCTGCTATTTTGCCTCTGAGCCACCATATCAGCTCGAGAGATAGCCAGAAGTCTATCTTGCCTTGTACCCAGTACTGGGGGGCTGGACGTTATTCTGTGGCTGCTCCAACGATCTCAGCACACCTGTGGCTGATCACCAATTAGCCAGGTATAAGACACTGCCTCTCCCTGAGGGCAGTGTCAGTTCATTGACTCTGGTTCCCTTGTTTGGTTCCTGTCTTGCTATATCTGCGTTCCAGTATTTCCTGTCTGATTCTGGCTTCTGACCTTGGCTTTCCTCCTGGACTACTCTGATCTCTGGCTTCCCCTGACTTTGGCTTTCCTTGACTACGCTTCTGCTAATCCCTGCTGTACTGCTACTTGGAGCACTATTCCTGGAAACCCCCCGTGCACAGACTCACAGATCAGGTGGCGTCTTACCTGGTCACCCTGGTCTGTGTCTACTTTGCAAGGGTGAGCGTATAACTCTGCGAGCCGGACTCCCTAAGAACCTGACAAGTATACCCGTATTAAGGTACTGGAAACTTAATGAGAGTACCACACGGAAGACTGACCATGCGGTTCAGAAAACAAAAAACAATTTATTAAATCAATTTAAAAATTGCCAAAAGGAAATTAGGCAATCACCCAAGTGTAACATACAAAATAAATGGAGTGTGAAAATAAATAAATAGAAGAGGATACTAAAATCAATGAGACTAGTTTGATAACTACAGATTAGAAAGGTTCTAGTATTGCACTCACTGAGTTTACTATTACAGCACACATCTGTGCTATACAAGAATGTATGTTGACCATAAAATATACAAAGGGGAGGGATGAGGGATATGAATCCTATATGTGGAATCAAATAAACTGCCTTAGGTAAAGAGAGCCTATATACAAGGTTTGAACAGACTCAGTGAATAAATCATAGCTTGTAATCATTCATCAGAAAGTTTTCTAGGTTAGGTTTACTATACATATACCTAACAATATACCGAGGAAACCCCTGAGTGTGGTAGTTACTTGTGAATGGGCAAAAAGAGATGATATTAGGAAGGTACTGTTACCATATTCCATTCCCAACGTAAAGAAAAAATGTTTGGGGTTTCACTGTGGAGAGATTCACCCTGTGCCTTGGAAAGGCACCTCCCTAACAAGGGTGATAGTTGTAAAAGAAGGAAAAAAAAAAAAAAAAGGCAGATTGTAAGAACAATAATAGATCAAATAAACGGACTAAATAGCCCACCCGTGCTTTCAAGGGCACCTAGATCCAACCCCCCTAGTGAATAAGAAGGATAGAGTGCAGTAGTAGAAATGGCATATCAAGTTGATATTGTTAGCAGCATGGTAAGTCCCTTGACGCGTGCGTTTCACCCGACCAGGCTCGTCCCCAGGATAGGACTACATCTTTTGGCCTAGTATCATTTACGTTTGTGTATAGCTATAGATGTGGCTGCTCTAAGAATTTGCAATATGCAAATCTACCAAAAATATATGCAAATTAACAAGCCTTGATATTTTGGTAGTGCATATAGCTATTGCTACCAACAGAGGGCGTTATACAGGCTCCATAGCCAAATCCACCTAGTTGGTAACAAGCATCAGCAAGACAGAAGAGCACACAACAATTAACAATAAACAAACACATTATACACACCCTGCACCTATAATGGGCACAGGGTGACCTAGACATAGAAGTAGTCCAGGATCCTATTTAAAGTGTCCGTATGAAACTCCAGGTGATTGTGACTACCGCAACATATCTCCCCCGCCCCAAGGGAAGACTAACCAGGTGCATGATCTCCAATCGGTCTGTGCCTGAGTTAGTCTGGCAACCCACCCCAAAATGTCTAGCTAACCTGGTAGCCTCCTGAACTCCATTGTCTCGCTGGGGAGGGAGTCCGACAATTTCAGCTCCCAGTAACCCACACTGTCGATGGGGAGGGAGGCAGACACTCTCCGATCTCGGTAACACAAGCTGCCGCTGGGGAGGGAGACCGACACTCTCTGCTCCCGATTAAAACTATTTGCCGCTGAAGATGGAAGCTGATTCTCTCCTCTCTAGCTCTCTTTTGACTTTTCTTGGGCTAGAGAGATCATGCAGCCAGTCAATAGGTCCAAAGACTCTATTACTAGGATCCCTAAAAATCTACACAGGACACACAATTCCAAAAGGAACGAACGTCTAATTTTTTTTTCTGAGGACTAACCTATAGGCTCACTGGTGTAACTTATGGTGACAATTCAATAAAAATACAAGCAATCAAGTCATATCAGACAATTTACAGCAACTTCTAATAACACTACATATTTATAAAGGGGTGGGGAAAACAATAATTAACAGAAAATATCTCTCCTGCCTGCAGCATTAGCAATATGCAAATCAACCTGAATGTGCAAATTAACAAGCCTTGCTATTCAGGTAGTGCATATAGCTGTTGCTACCAACATAGGGCGCTATACAGGCTCCATAGCCAAATACACCTAGTTGGTAACAAGCATCATCAGGACAGGAGAACACACAAAACAAATAAAAATAAACAAACACATTATACACACACTGCACCTATAATGGGCACAGGGTGACTTAGAAATAGGAGTATTCCAGGGTAATACATAAAGTGTCTGTATGAAACTCCAGGTGATGGTGACTGTTGTTACAGTGTCAGTTATGAAGGATAACAATGGTAAGTAAAGAAATGTTGCGGGTTAAGTATGGCAATTTAGTCAAATATATTTGAGAGTCAATTAATAATCCAGTTACTATTGAAGAAAAAATAAGTGTGACGAACTGGACCTCGTCACGGGTTCCTGGAGGGGCATACTTGCCAGCCTCTTGCCCTGTGACTATGGCCCCTGTAATGAATTTTAGGTTAAAGACTCTGGTTCGAACTCCCGAACTCGCAAAGCCATTCAAAGTGCCATTCTACCACGTGGCGGCGGCCATCTTAAGCCGCGAGTACAATAAGCGGTGTTTGGTTGTCGAGTGCATGTAACTCAAATCGAACACTCGACGGCATGAACACTGCTAAACTTCCATGGATGTTTGACTATTTTTACCGAACAGCGTTCGGTAAAAAGAAACTCACGAACAAGAGACATGCACTGACTTTATCCATGTAGGCTACGTTCGGTATTTTGAACTGTACTTCAAATCCAGTAGACCAGCCACACAGCCTGATTCTGTGGAACTGTTTTGGGCATGGGACCATGCGTGCGGTCGGTCAAAATAGGACTTCCATAGAATTCTTGAACCCTGAACTGCTCTGGGAGATTTTGG